GCCACGCTCCAAGATGCGCAGAACTGATCCGGCTTAGGATCGATGCGCAGAGCAGGAAGTTATAATATAATAATAATATTTTATTTAGAAAAAGTACATACATAGATGTAGTTACAAACATTCTGATGGATTTATAGACAGAGCTAGTACATACAATACCTGAAGGATAGCGTATCTGGGGCCTCGGGGCTTGTAGATAGCCCGCGGCCCGTCCTCTGTGGCGCGGGTTCGATTCCCGCACGAGGCAGAAACGTGGGCAAAGTTTCTAACACCCAATAATATTTTACTGCTAGAAAAAATAGGTACATAGGAGTTAGTCAGCTGTCACCAATGCTTCTGGGGGAGGCCTGGTCGAGGACCGGGACCACGGATCACACACTAAAAGCCCTCGAAATCATCTCAATACCTAAAGCCTAGCGTTTCATATACGCATAGCGTTTCGGGCAAACCATCAAATTTGTTAAAAGATGAGCAGTTTGACTCATCCTAACCTATCCTACGTGACGGATATAGGCCTTGAAGTGGACTAGTCTTAACGATACCAAGAAGGGTAGAGGACCTTAGGACTAACATTTCAACATGCATAACAAGGCTTACGTCATGGGGACCATTAAAATGCTGAACACATTGGAAGATATTGTTCCAGTAGCCCAAAGGTTTCCCAACGACAAGAAACTGTCGTGCTAAGGTGCCATCTTCTAACCAGCCACCAGTCTTCCTAACTGAGCGTCACATTTTGACGTATACGTTACCTAAGGGCAAAAACCGTCGTACTAGAAAATGGCAGCGGCTCGCGAAATTTACATTCTGTCCCGTTTTCTGTTTTGGGTCCTCTTGGTAGGTTAGGAGAGGGCACCTTAGCACGACAGTTCTTGACGTTGGGAAGCCTTAGGAGGACGAGAACGGAGTACCACCTCTGGCTGGAAGAAGGGGACCCTTAGCCTCGGAGGAAAGCTCACATAACGCATTTGAATCGATGTTTAGGTTCCCTCCAATACAGTTTCTATGTTCTTTTTTCCTAGGCGAACAGAGCCATCAGGGTGAAAGAAACTCTGCCCATTTGTTTCCGCCTCGGCCGGGAATCTAACCAGGGCCCTTACGACTACGACCCCCGAGTGCTGTCCACTCAGCCGTGAGGCCCCTATGTATTCACCTAGTTGTGCTTGCGGGGGATGAGCTCTGGCTCTTTGGTCCCGCCTCTCAACCGTCAATCAACAGGTGTACAGATTCCTGAGCCTATTGGGCTCTATCATATCTACACTTGAAACTGTGTATGGAGTCAGCCTCCACCACATCACTTCCTAATGCATTCCATTTGTCAACCACTCTGACACTAAAAAAATTCTGTCTAATATCTCTGTGGCTCATTTGGGCACTCAGTTTCCACCTGTGTCCCCTTGTGCGTGTGCCCCTTGTGCGTGTGCCCCTTGTGTTAAATAGCCTGTCTTTATCTACCATGTCAATTCCTCTGAGAATCTTGTACGTGATGATCATGTCCCCCCCTAACTCTTCTGTCTTCCAGCGAAGTTAGGTTTAATTCCCGTAGTCTCTCCTCGTAGCTCATACCTCTCAGCCCGGGTACTAGTCTGGTGGCAACCTTTGAACCTTTTCCAGTTTAGTCTTATCCTTGACTAGATATGGACTCCATGCTGGGGCTGCATACTCCAGGATTGGCCTGACATATGTGGTATACAAAGTTCTGAATGATTCCTTACACAAGTGTCTAAATGTCGTTCTTATTTTAGCCAACCTGGCATATGCTGCTGATGTTATCCTCTTGATATGGGCTTCAGGGGTAAGGTCTGGCGTGATATCAACCCCCAGATGTACTCACCTAATTGTGCTTGCGGGGGTTGAGCTCTGGCTCTTTGGTCATGACATTCAAATCCAGTCTGTGACCGGCCGAGGTGATGGTGCTGCTGGCCCCTGAGACACTTGGTACACCTCCAGGGTGTTGACGCTTGTCGCCCTCAGTACAGGCAGCAACACTCAATGCCATTCCACAATTCAGACAAGTTTTATTGAACATAATTCTTGATGTGAAAAGATGTAGCTTATCTCCATGCCTTTACAACACTTGCTTACATTCCGAACATTCCCGGAGTTTATATTGGTTTATTAAAGGTTTATATACATCAAGCATTCACGTAAATTACATTCAAGCAATATGCTGTAAATTACAGAATCACAGAACATCAAACTTGTTTTCCAATAAGAGCACTCGACTGCGAGAGTGCCTTCAGTGCTGGCATGGGAGCCCAGACACAGGGGAGAAGGAGCGGCCAGCGTGGGAATAATACCTTCCTCGATCAACAAGCAGTGAGGGGCAAGCAAAAGGGAAGGTGGAGGAGGTTGTGAAGCGGCAGAAGAAAGGCTGAACAAGAGAGGGAGGAATGAGACAAAACGAGACTCACGCAAGGGAACCGCGAGCAAACAAAAGTGGGAAGGCATAAAGGTCCTCCCTTGCAAAATATATACAAAACGTTCTTAAAATACTAAAGAACCCTTCAGTGTTAGTATGAGATAAGAAAGGAAACCTTCTCGAAGGCCAGTTAAGCATTACAGTACGAGTCAAGTGCAGAGATATTCAACAGGTGCTTCCCAAGTACACTGGAGAAATGAATCATACAAATCCCCACCGACAGACATGCAACGTCAGGTTAACGTTCGCTGAAAGGCGTTCGCTCAGCGCAGCCGCGGTGACCCCAAACATTCCCGCTTGTAACCCTTAATCTTGGAGGAAACAATACTTACAACGTATATACTTATCATACGGAGAGTTGTGGCAAGACCTTTGTCATCTTCGGTCAGGTTTAGGCCAGACAAGGGTGCTGTACGAGCGATAGCGGCGTGAGGAGCGACTTGCCTGTATCGTTGAGAATGCCGTGTGGGCGTCTAGGTTTACCCAGATGACTGGCGAGATGCGGGCGGTCAGACGGCAAACAATGAGTACGAGGTATACCAAAAGTTATGGAGATTTATCCGCGTTAACACTCCGCTGCTTAATTCCAATTTATTATCGTGAAAAAGTGCACCTTTTAAGAGATTAGAGAGAATATCGCAATTTTCCGAAACCGATTATCTGCAGCGGAATGGGAAAACATCACAAGAGAAGGACTGGAAGGCCAGCACAGGGCTTGGACTGGAGGCGAAGCGCAACCAACTCTGGAAGACGCCCGTGGAAAATGTCAGCAATGGCGGGGGGGTGAGGCTCCGAGCAGTACAAATATTAACACACTATTCCGGCTGGGCTTCACCACCAAGGCCTGGGACTGGCAGTCTAGGCTGGCCAGGCGGCGCGGACACTCCCGGTGCTGGAACCATCAATTATCAACCCACTACGGCTCACTATACTCCGCCCTCAACTGTGACCCGGGAACCCTCACTATCACCACAACCACAATGATACCTGTGACCTTTCCATACAAATATTTAAAATGGATTTCATACAATTTGTACGGTTAAAAAAGACCCTTTTTTGGAAAGTGGTGAATTTGACTCACTGTGGCAGACTCAACCTTGCGATGATCTCAAACTAGATATATATATATATATTATATATATAGGAGAGATCACCCGGAAGGTTTTATATAACGTGATATGTTCTTGATTTCCTTTGCTTAAGAAATTTCGTTATGCAAATGTGTTTAGTGATGAAGCTCAATGTTTGTTTTAACGTTGAGACAATGAGCTAATGTGCCGAGTCCCGCTGACAGTGATGATCCGTGATGCCTCTTGCATGGTGATGGTGATGTTTGATGGTGAACTGTGATGTTTGTTGGTGATGGTGAACTGTGATGTTTGTTGGTGATGGTGAACTGTGATGTTTGTTGGTGATGGTGAACTGTGATGTTTGTTGGTGATGGTGAACTGTGATGTTTGATGGTGATGGTGAACTGTAATGTTTGATGGTGAACTGATGTTTCATGGTGATGGTGAACTGTGATGTTTGATGGTGATGGTGAACTGTGATGTTTGTTGGTGATGGTGAACTGTGATGTTTGATGGTGATGGTGAACTGTGATGTTTGTTGGTGATGGTGAACTGTGATGTTTGTTGGTGATGGTGAACTGTGATGTTTGTTGGTGATGGTGAACTGTGATGTTTGATGGTGATGGTGAACTGTAATGTTTGATGGTGAACTGATGTTTCATGGTGATGGTGAACTGTGATGTTTGATGGTGAACTGATGTTTCATGGTGATGGTGAACTGTGATGTTTGAGGGTGATGGTGAACTGTAATGTTTGATGGTGAACTGATGTTTCATGGTGATGGTGAACTGTGATGTTTGAGGGTGATGGTGAACTGTAATGTTTGATGGTGAACTGATGTTTCATGGTGATGGTGAACTGTGATGTTTGATGGTGATGGGGAGCCGTGATGTTTGATTGTGAAAGTGAACTGTGACGTTTGATGGTGAATTGTAATGTTTGATGGTGAACTGTGACGTTTGATGGTGAACTATGATGTTTGATGGTGAACTGTGATGTTTGATGGTGAACTGTGATGTTTGATGGTGAACTGTGATGTTTGATGGTGAACTGTGACGTTTGATGGTGAACTGTGACGTTTGATGGTGAACTGTGACGTTTGATGGTGAACTGTGATGTTTGATGGTGAACTGTGATGTTTGATGGTGAACTGTGACGTTTGATGGTGAACTGTGACGTTTGATGGTGAACTGTGACGTTTGATGGTGAACTGTGATGTTTGATGGTGAACTGATGTTTCATGGTGATGGTGAACTGTGATGTTTGATGGTGATGGTGAACTGTGATGTTTGTTGGTGATGGTGAACTGTGATGTTTGATGGTGATGGTGAACTGTGATGTTTGTTGGTGATGGTGAACTGTGATGTTTGTTGGTGATCGTGAACTGTGATGTTTGTTGGTGATGGTGAACTGTGATGTTTGATGGTGATGGTGAACTGTAATGTTTGATGGTGAACTGATGTTTCATGGTGATGGTGAACTGTGATGTTTGATGGTGAACTGATGTTTCATGGTGATGGTGAACTGTGATGTTTGAGGGTGATGGTGAACTGTAATGTTTGATGGTGAACTGATGTTTCATGGTGATGGTGAACTGTGATGTTTGAGGGTGATGGTGAACTGTAATGTTTGATGGTGAACTGATGTTTCATGGTGATGGTGAACTGTGATGTTTGATGGTGATGGGGAGCCGTGATGTTTGATTGTGAAAGTGAACTGTGACGTTTGATGGTGAATTGTAATGTTTGATGGTGAACTGTGACGTTTGATGGTGAACTATGATGTTTGATGGTGAACTGTGATGTTTGATGGTGAACTGTGATGTTTGATGGTGAACTGTGATGTTTGATGGTGAACTGTGACGTTTGATGGTGAACTGTGACGTTTGATGGTGAACTGTGACGTTTGATGGTGAACTGTGATGTTTGATGGTGAACTGTGATGTTTGATGGTGAACTGTGACGTTTGATGGTGAACTGTGACGTTTGATGGTGAACTGTGACGTTTGATGGTGAACTGTGATGTTTGATGGTGATGGTAAACTGTGATGGTGTGGGTGGAGGTCGAGGGGGGGGGGGGGTAAATGAGGGTAGGACCCCGTCGGGTAGAATACCCGCATGACTCAGCAGCTCCGGTTTACTGGGACGCCCTTAAGCGGGGGGGGGGGGGGCTGCCCTCTCTTGTCCTGCTGTGTGAGGTGCTGCCCTCTCTTGTCCTGCTGTGAGAGGGGGGGGCTGCCCTCTCTTGTCCTGCTGTGTGAGGTGCTGCCCTCTCTTGTCCTGCTGTGAGAGGGGCTGCCCTCTCTTGTCCTGCTGTGAGAGGGGCTGCCCCTCTCTTGTCCTGCTGTGAGAGGGGCTGCCCTCTCTTGTCCTGCTGTGAGAGGGGCTGCCCTCTCTTGTCCTGCTGTGAGAGGGGGCTGTCCCTCTCTTGTCCTGCTGTGAGAGGGGCTGCCCTCTCTTGTCCTGCTGTGAGAGGGGCTGCCCTCTCTTGTCCTGCTGTGAGAGGGGCTGCCCTCTCTTGTCCTGCTGTGAGAGGGGTTGCCCTCTCTTGTCCTGCTGAGAGAGGGCTGCCCTCTCTTGTCCTACTGTAAGAGGGGGCTGCCCTCTCTTGTCCTGTGAGAGGGGGTTGCCCCTGTCTTGTCCTGCTGTGAGAGGGGGCTGCCCTCTCTTGTCCTGTGAGAGAGGGGGCTGCCCTCTCTTGTCCTGCTGTGAGAGGGGGCTGCCCTCTCTTGTCCTGCTGTGAGAGGGGCTGCCCTCTCTTGTCCTGCTGTGAGAGGGGCTGCCCTTTCTTGTCCTGCTGTGAGAGGGGCTGCCCTGTCTTGTCCTGCTGTGAGAGGGGCTGCCCTCTCTTGTCCTGCTGTGAGAGGGGCTGCCCTCTCTTGTCCTGCTGTGAGAGGGGCTGCCCTGTCTTGTCCTGCTGTGAGAGGGGGCTGCCCCTCTCTTGTCCTGCTGTGAGAGGCCTGCCCCTGTTTTGTCCTGCTGTGAGAGAGGCTGCCCTCTCTTGTCCTGCTGAGAGGGGGCTGCCCCTCTCTTGTCCTGCTGTGAGAGGGGGGCTGCCCTCTCTTGTCCAGCTATGAGAGGGGGGCTGCCCTCTCTTGTCCTGCTGAGAGGGGGCTGCCCTCTCTTGTCCTGCTGTGAGAGGGGCTGCCCTCTCTTGTCCTGCTGTGAGAGGGGTTGCCCTCTCTTGTCCTGCTGTGAGAGGGGGCTGCCCCTCTCTTGTCCTGCTGTGAGAGGGGGCTGCCCTCTCTTGACCTGCTGTGAGAGGGGGCTGCCCTCTCTTGTCCTGCTGTGAGAGGGGGCTGCCCCTCTCTTGTCCTGCTGTGAGAGGGGCTGCCCTCTCTTGTCCTGCTGTGAGAGGGGCTGCCCTTTCTTGTCCTGCTGTGAGAGGGGCTGCCCTGTCTTGTCCTGCTGTGAGAGGGGCTGCCCTCTCTTGTCCTGCTGTGAGAGGGGCTGCCCTCTCTTGTCCTGCTGTGAGAGGGGGCTGCCCTCTCGTATCCTACTGCGTGCTAACATGATACAAGATTCTTCAGTTGATCCGCCTCACGTAACCCTCAACCACCATGAAAACGAAAATTGGCTCCCAACGGTCTCGAGAGCCGTTAACTGTCTAAAGATTTAAATGCGTTTCGTTTGATTTTCAAACAAAGGTGTTTACAATGAACGAGGACGAGGTATATCTGTTTACAGTCCGTTTTTTAGATTTACACTCCGTAAAAAAATGCAACTTTGTTGTCTAATTCATAAAATACGAATCCATGAAAAAAAAACATGACTTATTGAGGCCGAAGCTTATATAACGTCAATAATGCGTCGATGTAAGGTTTGCTAGTGACATTGTTAACGGTTTGGTCGATTACGTAAATAAAAGCGACGTATTTGGTGAGGTGACAGGTTGAAACACAGAACGTAGTGACGGAGCCAAATAAGGCGGGCATGACGTAACGCGTCACACCTAAAGTGTTTGAACGCCAGGGTGCGTTTGGCGCCCTCGAATAGGGGCTTGGCTGACGCCATCTGGACGCCATGTTAGAACTCCAAACATGTAGGCACAGGTGTTTGTGTGTATATGTGTATATATATATATGTGTGTGTGTGTGTGTGTGTGTACTCACCTAATTGTGCTTGCGGGGGTTGAGCTTTGTCTCTTTGGCCCCGCCTCTCAACTGTCAATCAACTGGTGTACAGATTCCTGAGCCTACTGGGCGCTATAGCTGTGTATGTGTGTGTGTGTGTGTAAAACAACACATTATGGGCACAAACGCGATATATTGTCTAACAAACAAAATATTTGTAAACTAATTTTAATCTCACGAGTTGAACTAGGACTTTTTACTCAGAGGGGCGATTCAATTTTATCTGAAACATTAAATTTGGACACACATAGGCGAACATATGTTTACTTTGCTTGAACACATAATATGAGGCGGGTATATAGCAGGTCGTTTTCAGAACAACTCCATTAGAACAAGACATTAACCGAACACAAACCACCCGGATACTTTTCTAGATATTTGTAATGGTCTGACGGCATATTACGCTTCAAATAATAGTCTACTTGTAAACTGACAAGTGAACCTTTGTCCTAAAACATTCATTCAGTTGTTCAGAGAACGTTCTCAAGTTATAACTTTATATATATTAAACCAACGATTTATGATACAATAAAGTGTATGCTAAACTCCTTTTCTTTGAAACGGTCAGAAGAATTTGGTTTCATGTGAAATTATATGGGATATTCAAATAGGTTTCGAATTCCATATTTCACATTTTTTTTAGAATAATATAGCGTATTAACGTAACCAAACATAATTAACCTAACTTTAAGGTAACTGTTAAGCAACCTAACCCCAGGTAGGTGGGGTAGATAATAGCACTATCCAAAAAATAAGCCAGTTATAATCATGAAAGATAGATCCCAGTTGAAACATAATGGTTTACTGATAATGAATGTAAGTGAAAACACAATTATGATCAGAAATTAGCATATTTTATAACGAAACAAATCGAAAAATTGTGGCTAATAAGAGAAAAAGAGGTCAAAGATTTGCGTCTATCATCGACTTGCTTTGGCGTTTTACGCGATCTATTGTTCACATTTTTGTTATAAAACAAGCCAATTTTCAAAGCCCAATTATCATCTTATTAATAATTTAAACTATCAATTTATTATCGATATATATCAACAAGAAAAATTATAAATTTATCATGTTATTTTGTTATAAAATTGGCAAATTTTATAACATGTGGGTTTTTCGTTAGGGTTTTATTTGGGCTTTATTTACGTAATTAAAAGTGACTCTGAAATAGATTTGTGTATCTTTTCCACACTCGGCTCTCAGACCGTTGGTCCCTGGTTCGATTCTCGGGCGGAGAGAACGTCTCCGTCCAGCCAATGAAGGCTGTGAACCACGCGTCTGTTGGTTCAGACGCGTGGTTCCTTAAAAGTCACACCTTTTAGTTTATACATCCTTTAACCTGTCTAGGTCTATCAAACTCTGGAGGCGTGTAAGGCCATACAAGAGGTTACTGACCAACCAGCAGGCGTTGGGAGTTCAAGCGAACTAACTTCCAGTGCTTAGACACAAGTACTCGCCAGACACTCGCCTGGCGTTCCGCGAGCGCTATGTCATGGGTTCGTATCCTGGCCGGGGAGGATTTACTGGGCGCAATTCCTTAACTGTAGCCTCTGTTTAACTCAACAGTAAAATGTGTACTTGGATGAAAAAACGATTCTTCGCGGCGGGGATCGTATTCCAGGGACCATAGGATTAAGGACTTGCCCGAAACGCTACGCGTACTAGTGGTTGTACAAGAATGTAACAACTCTTGTATATATCTCAAAGTAGGAACCATATTTCTGCGTGTATGTGTCCTCTATCAAAGATAATGGGACTCTTCTATATTTACCTCAATTTATCTGAGAGCCACTAATACTAGTGGCCTCGGGGAGAACTGGAAGTCGACAACTTGTCAAAGGTGCGCCCCCCCCCCCCATATGCCTTGATGGCCTTTTCCAGTTCTATTTTAAAACCCAACACAGTTTTGGCATTTACGGCTTCAGCGGGTAGGCGGTTCCATGTGTTAATAACCCTATGGGTGAAAAAGCATCTCCTGTTCTCATTCCCACATTGTGGCTTTGTTGAGCTTGAACCCGTTGGTCCTCGTTCGTGTTACATCTGACCTTTGGAAGAAACTGTCCGGATCAACATCCTCCAAATTGTTCAGTATTTTAAAGGTTTCGATGAGATCCGCCCTGTCATGCCTGGCATGCTGAGGTGTTAGTCCTGCGGCCCTCAACCGTTCCTATGGTCGTGTGGGCTGCACTCTCCTGCAAATATCATTCACCAGGAAAGTACAATAGAGGACTTATTATTCCGGCGCGATTGGTGCTTACATTTCCCCCCGGTTTCTTTGACGAGTAAAAAATGTTGAAGATAAACATTGATGTTTGTCTGTGTGTGAGGTGACACCCGCACTGTGACGCCGTCTCACCCACCGTCTCCTGCCACCCCCACCCCTTGAGGTTACCTTGAAGTGCTTCCGGGGCTTAGTGTCCCCGCGGCCCGGTCGTCGACCAGGCCTCCTGGTTGTCTCCATAGATCTTGTGGAATACAGCATTTGATATGCTTTTTTTTTGTTACAATACAGTACTTGTTGTATTGCTTCTATTTCTTATTACCACTGTTGTTTCTATAATTTTCCAATTAGCGGAATATGTTTGTGTTGGTGATAACTATCAAGGTGATGAAACGACCAACCAATGATGGCTTTTAACCTCATGGAATATATTGCGAGAGCAACAAACGAGGCCCAACAACGTAAAATACAACTAGAGGTATACACGCTCCACTTCACGGTGTATATACACAGAAGTATACACGCTCCACTTCACCGTGTATATACACAGAAGTATACACGCTCCACTTCACCGTGTATATACACAGAAGTATACACGCTCCACTTCACCGTGTATATACACAGAAGTATACACGCTCCACTTCACCGTGTATATACACAGAAGTATACACGCTCCACTTCACCGTGTATATACACAGAAGTATACACGCTCCACTTCACGGTGTATATACACAGAAGTATACACGCTCCACTTCACCGTGTATATACACAGAAGTATACACGCTCCACTTCACCGTGTATATACACAGAAGTATACACGCTCCACTTCACGGTGTATATACACAGAAGTATACACGCTCCACTTCACCGTGTATATACACAGAAGTATACACGCTCCACTTCACCGTGTATATACACAGAAGTATACACGCTCCACTTCACCGTGTATATACACAGAAGTATACACGCTCCACTTCACCGTGTATATACACAGAAGTATACACGCTCCACTTCACCGTGTATATACACAGAAGTATACACGCTCCACTTCACGGTGTATATATATACACTTAGTAGGCAAGAATGAACTCAGCTTATGGGCTGACTACGGAGTGCTGGGATCTAAGCTCCTGCTGTGGGAAAATATCAAGATATGTGTAACAGTAGCGATACCATTTAAAACTTAAGAGGTCTCGTATGTATTTATTCATCAGAATACATACGACTTCTGGCCACGAGGGCCCGTCGGCAGGTGTGACGGCCCTCGCTCTTGACAACATACCTCAAATTTTCTGGAAAAAATTAAGTAATACCAAGAAAAATAAACTTTTCATCTAAAACTTTATATACAATGTATGCACATGTCCATCCACTGCCGCCAGCAGTCAATCTGTCCTCTACAACGCACCAATACTGACTCACACACACACAATATTCCTGCACCGTCCACCGCTGCTGTCCATGGAGGGATTTTCAAGGCGACGTCCCATCCAAGGTCGACACCTTTCCCCCCCCGTGTCGGCCTCAGGCGACTCTTCCAGACGCCGAGCTAATACACTGCTTGCCGGGGTGATATTATTATCGTTTATGTCCCTTGGATAGCGAACCGGGCACTTACGTCTCTGTGGACAGCGAACCGGGCACTTACGTCTCTGTGGACAGCGAACCGGGCACTTACGTCTCTGTGGACAGCGAACCGGGCACTTACGTCTCTGTGGACAGCGAACCGGGCACTTACGTCTCTGTGGACAGCGAACCGGGCACTTACGCCTCTGTGGACAGCGAACCGGGCACTTACGTCTCTGTGGACAGCGAACCGGGCACTTACGTCTCTGTGGACAGCGAACCGGGCACTTACGTCTCTGTGGACAGCGAACCGGACACTTACATCTCTGTGGACAGCGAACCGGGCACTTACGTCTCTGTGGACAGCGAACCGGGCACTTACGTCTCTGTGGACAGCGAACCGGGCACTTACGTCTCTGTGGGCTGCAAGCCGAACACTGACTATACTCAAATTTATCAATGTGCTTGTTGTCTCTGTCGGCGACTGTGATTGGCTCTCACCGTCACCAATCGCGCAGTTCTGGACCTAAACCACGCCAACTGTCGTCAGCCTCGTTCCCTTCTGCAGCAGTTAACACATTATACTTCTAAATCACAATGTTAATCTTGGTGCGACGAATTAACGCGTCCTGATAGCTTTTAGTAACAGGGGGATATATGCTATATTTTGCTATTCTATCAACAGTTAAAAACAAAAAACATCTGCACGCTCTTCGGCCTATCTGGGTTATTACTTTGCGGAAAGGCAGGCCCAAGAGCTAAAGTGCGACCCTGTCTAAAGCTTTTGTGAGTTTGGGCTTTATGTTTATGAATTAATTCATTTATATTACTTCTAAATGGGGTACCCGGCGATGTCCAGGTCGACTACAAAATGTTATGCCATTTAAGTGTTGGAAACTTCCAAAATGAAAATCTGTCATTATGTTCCAAGGTTGCTCTAGTATATATATGTTCCAAGGTTGCTCTAGTATATATATGTTCCAAGGTTGCTCTAGTATATATATGTTCCAAGGTTGCTCTAGTATATATGTGTTCCAAGGTTGCTCTAGTATCCAAGGTTGCTCTAGTATATATATGTTCCAAGGTTGCTCTAGTATTTATATGTTCCAAGGTTGCTCTAGTATATATATGTTCCAAGGTTGCTCTAGTATATATGTTCCCAAGGTTGCTCTAGTATTTATATGTTCCAAGGTTGCTCTAGTTGCCTAGTATATATATATGTTCCAAGGTTGCTCTAGTTGCAGTATTTATATGTTCCAAGGTGGTATATACATGTTTGCTCTAGTATATATGTGTTCCAAGGTTGCTCTAGTATCTGCCTTGTTTCTTGCAGGTCAACGTTCGATCCCCTGATGACCCCCAAGTGGTTGGGTCATTCCCAAGATCATGCCTTAATCCCAGGTCATTGTCCTCATTTCCCTTCCAAGTGCTATATACTCTTACTAGCTTACTCCTCATAACTACCTCACCCTGGTAGTTGGTGGCTGAGAGACGACGTAGAGGAAGACCAAGCTGAGGGTAGACTTTAACTGTAGATGAGGTTTGACTTGTAAGAGCTGTAGCTAATCGGTGATACATGATAAGGTCAATGAGTCGAAGATGAGAGCCATCCCTAAATCGTTTTCTTTCTTTGAGAGTTCACCTAACCCGGTTTCTTTCTTTATAAAGCCTAGACTCGTGCATATCTCAAGCTCAGCCTCTTCCTCTATAAATTCAGTCTACTCTTACCTTGGTATAGCTGCATTAATGATATTGTTAATCAATTTTACTCTGATTATGTGTAGTTATATTTAGGACGTATGTTTCACGAGGGCAGCTTGTGGGCGGTGAGTACTGCTGACGGCGTGGGTGCTGGAGGCAAGACTCCGGCGTAGCTGGTGCACAAACTCAGCTGCCCCGCGTCCTGCCCCCCGCCCCACGCCCTGAGACGCCACGAGCCTCGCCATGAGACGCCACGAGCCTCGCCATGAGACGCCACGACCCTCGCCCCCACGCCATGAGACGCCACGAGCCTCGCCCCCACGCCATGAGACGCCACGACCCTCGCCCCCACGCCATGAGACGCCACGAGCCTCGCCCCACGCCATGAGACGCCACGACCCTCGCCCCCACGCCATGAGACGCCACGAGCCTCATCCCACATCAAGTGTCGCAATAGGAACCCCGCCCCACGTCAAGTGATGTCACGAGGCCCGACCCACGCCAAACCTCTCGCCAGGACCCCGCCCCATGCTGTGTTGACCTGGCCGGGGTCGCCATGATCCACATGCTCCACCATGTGATAAACGAACCTCGCCTCATAACGGCACATAGTGACACTCCCATAGTAACACTCGTATAGTGACGCATTGCTCTCTAAGACCATCCAAGAGGTAACTAGTCCAACATTTACAACTCTTGATCAATGGCCGACCAAAACCCAGAGATTTGTTTCCTTTAACTTGTCCGTCAAAATGAATAACTAGGTCCGTGATCCAGCCAAGGACACAAGGACGGGTGCATGGAGAGGTGCCCCTCACACCTCAGTGTCCTGGCGTTACCTCCCCGAGGTGCTTGGGGTCAAGACAACACACACACACTACACCTACACCGTAAACAATGCACTTCAACATGTCACTGAATGATCTGACTGACTCAGTCACCTAGCCCGAGGCCTAATTCCCAGTGTAGCATATCTTCTCAGTGTATATAGAACTGTCATTGTGTGTATACAATTCAGTATATATACACACTGAGACTTGACGTTAGTCTACATTGTTTAATACGTAATACGGAGTATTAAAATAGCAAAAATGATGTGCTCAGCATACATAGGGTCTCTGGAAGACTATCATCCACCAGTTTTAATCCTGCATAATGGCAAAGCTATCTTATTACTTCACTCAGAATGTTCAGTAATATATTAACTGTTTGTGATATGTGTCTATATATGTATATGAACACGATGTACTGACCGGGGTGAGAATAGCTTGAGCTACCTCATCCCTTTGTGTATATTTATACCTCAATAAACTTATTTCAATTTTAATTTCAATCTTATACCTAAGCATAAAATATCTGAAATCCTTGTACTGTATCCACGTCTCGCTTCTAGTAGATAAATGATATTATGAGACTAATTAATAGACTGTGTACTGTGAAGACTAATTATAATAAACAACCGCTTTTCTGTTATCGTATAATATCCACACATATAAAATAGTTAATGTATTAGCAAAACATATGATATTAGTGTATAATAATTTACTGTAAATACATAATGTTGTAGTGAAATTTTTTTTGTAACTTGCTGACATTATAGTTATAAGTTGTGCAGGTTATGTGTATTTGTTAATGTAAAAATCTCCGCTGAGGTCTGAGATTCTTAAGACCGTTTGCCCCCTTTGTAATCTTTTTTGCGCTACCGCTCGCAGGAGGAGTATGGAGTGCACAATATACAAGACACACCCGGTGGCAACAATTGATCATATACCACACTCTCCTTGACCGACTCACCTCAGCGTCCAGCTTCACCACATCAGCAGCTTACCTCATTGTAATGTTTTAAAAAAATTTATATTGTATTTATATATACAAGAGTTCTTACATTCTTGTACAGCCACTAGCACATGTAGCGTTTCGGGCAGGTCCTTAATTCCAATTTTCCCTGGAATACGACCCCGCCAAATAGTTTAACAACCAGGTACCCATTCACTGCTGGGTGAACAGAGGCTACAGTTAAGGATTGACACCTAGTCAATCCTCCCTGGCCAGGATATGAACCCAGGCCAAATCGCTCGCGAAGCTCCGTTCCAGTGTTTTACCACTGCGCCACGGGGAAAAAAACACTAATGACTAAAGCTTAAAACTAATGGGTAAAAAGAAAAAAATGCGTTGAGTACAAATAAAAATAGAGGTAAAAGAGGGGGGAACATTGTTGAAAAAGCAGCACAAATACAATTACAAATTATTACAGAAAATTACATTAAAACAGCGTTGATTTGAAAAACAAGAAAAAACAAAAAACAGACATGGGTTGACAATAGAGGGGTAAGGTAGGTTACAGGGAATTTATTAGGTATAGCTTCGATTTTAACTTTTAACTTTTTTTAACTTTTAACAAACTATTACAAATTACCTGAAGACTAACTAAATCAATTAGTACACTATTCATCAAGGTCTAAAATCTGTCAGATTTAGAGCCATTGAATGAGAACATCTACTGGGGCTGTGAGGCGACGCGACCCAGCGACCAAGGCCTTGCCAAGCCGCTCACTTTACTATCCTAAACCCATACGCTGATCCCTTCCCAGGGCTGTATAGTCATAGTGGCTTGGCGCTTTCTCCTGATAGATCCCTTACCCAACCACTTGGGTTGGCAGGTAGAGCGACGGTCTCGCTTCATGCAGGTCGGCGTTCAATCCCCTACCATCCTCAAGTGGTTGGGCACCATTCCTTTCCCCCCTCGTCTCATCCCAAATCTTTATCCTGACCCCTTCTCAGTGCTATATAGTCGTAAAGACTTGGCGCTTTCCCCCTGATAGTTCCTTTCCCTGATAGTTTCCTTGATCCCTTCCCAGCGCTATATAGTCATAGTGGCTTGGCGCTTTACCCACGCAGTTACAGCCCCGCTCCTGTGCCAGGTAAGTCCTTACTGGCTCAGCATAGCCCATGCTGCTTGGAACTTTTTTTTCCCAGTAGCTGAATCTTAAACAACAACAACAAAACGCTTTCCCCCCCCCCCTGATAATTCCATTCACTTCTTGCACTGTACCAGCGCTGACGTGATAAAAGTCATACAACCGGAGTCCTGCTGAAATCACAGGAACCCCTGGAGTCCCTTCCTGAAGCCAGTCCAGGTGTTACGTAGCCCCACTTCTCTGTGTATGTACACAAAGAGTTTACTTACGACCTGTAAAGAGTACAGGACTAAAGTAAACTCAGTATTTAAGTATACTTGCTGGCATGTCAGTAAACCATAGAGATGTCTCTAATAACCCTCCAGAGGCTGATAGGTTTAACCCCAACACCAAACTATTACAAATAACTATAGAATTAAACGCAGCTCAAATTTTCAACGACCAATGATGATGGTCGCTAGTTAGCGACGTGTGAAAAAAAGGATATCAGTAATATCAACATATAATTCTGTTTACTCCAAACCAGGTGAAAGTGGAACAAGTGCAGTGCTGGCAATACATTTAGAGGTGTATGTACCAGGCTCTTGCTGGCGTGGGGACACACAGCTCTAACTTCAGGAGACTCACACACACACTCCTCCAAGACAAGAGACCAGAAGAACCAGGAACATAATTTGGTAAGGCTGGCATAAGCAGGTCTACAATGACAACAATCAACGAAATCAGAATAACTCTTCTGTCCTCTGAAAAAAAAGACTTTCTGTAATCAACCATGAAATTCTACCTCATTATGCTTATACTAATCATCAAAGGAAAGAGACAAATATATCTGAGAACCTTTACTGCCCCCCCATCCAACCCTCCACCCCACCCCTCTCCCCCATCCCCACCTCCCCCTCCCCCCTCCCCCTCCCCCTCCAAAAAAAAAAAAAAACGCATTGCGTCCATCAGTAATGTGGGCTTCATGACGCTAATATGAACCAATGAAGTAAGTAATTATCAGGAGAAAACGCTAAACAGGTATAAGAATATAACACTGGTGAGGTATATGAGGACAAGGAGCTGGGGACAAGGAAGTGAGGACAAGGAGCTGAGGACAAGGAGCTGGGGACAAGGAGCTGAGGACAAGGAGCTGAGGACAAGGAGCTGAGGACTGGATACAGGCCCAGGGTCCAACCAGTGCTCTGGGGACCTTCGACCTCCGCCTACTTCCTGTCCTCGTCGAGGCCACTAGGGTTAGCGGCTCTCAGGTAAATCAGGTAAAATCAGATAAACCACTTAAACTATCAGGGGATCGAACGCCCACCCTGCAAGATGCAAGACCGCCCTTCTTTCAACGGACCAGTCCAACTGGATTGACATGAACCAATGAAACGACTCAAAAATCAACTCTAGGGCCTATTCTCCAACCACTTGGACTGGACGGTAGAGCGATGGTCTCTCTTCATGCAGGTCGGTATTCAATCCCCGACCGTCCAAGTGGTTGGGCACCATTCCTTTCCCCCGTCCCACCTCGTCCCATCTTAAATCGTTATCCTGATTTTGCCCAGTGCTATATTATCATAATGGCTTGGCGCTTTCTCAAGATAATTAACTCCCATTAAACTGGAATCTCCAGTTTATGTGATCAAACTATCGACTTCAGAGAGGCGAAATGTATTCTCCCCGAGCTCTCCTGTCTTCCAGCGATAGAAATGTGTGTGTGTGGGGGGGGGGAGGGGGTGTGCGTGCGTGTGTGTGTGTGTGTATGTGCGTGCGCAGGAGACTGCAGCAAGTGCGTGGGCGCGACAGTTTCATGCAAGCATGACTGGTTTTGCGGGGCGTATCAGGTTGCATTTAGTGCGTAACAGACCACGTACATGTGGGCGTGGCAAGTCAAATGTGGGCGTGGCAGATCAAATGTGGGCGTGGCAGATCAAATGTGGGCGTGGCAGATCAAATGTGGGCGTGGCAGATCAAATGTGGGCGTGAAATGGTGACAGGTGGTCGTAGAGATGTTGAATCGTGCTTGGACACGTGTCAGATGGTCTGAAGGTGGTGCATTACAGGTTTGTGTGCACGAGTGTGTGTGTGTGTGTGTACTCACCTATTTGTGCTTGCGGGGGGTTGAGCTTTGGCTCTTTGGTCCTGCCTCTCAACTGTCAATCAACTGGTGTACAGATTCCAGGGCCTACTGGGCTCTATCATATCTACACTTGAAACTGTATGGAGTCAGCCTCCACCACATCACTTCCTAGTGCATTCCATTTACTAACTACTCTGACTCTGAAAAAGTTCTTTCTAATGTCTCTGTGGCTCATTTGGGTACTCAGTTTCCACCAGTGTCCCCTTGTTCGTGTTCCATCCGTGCTAATGAGTTTGTCTTTGACCACCATATTAATTTCCCTGAGAATTTTGTAGGTGGTTATCACGTCTCCCCTTACTCTTCTGTTTTCCAGGGACGTGAGGTTCAGCTCCCTTAGCCTTTCCTCGTAGCTCATACCTCTCAGTTTCGGGACTAGTCTAGTAGCATACCTCTGACTCTTCTCTAATTTTGTCTTGGAATGGACTCTAGGCTGGAGCTGCATATTCCAGCTTTGGTCTGACATAAGTGATATACAAGATCCTGAACGATTCCTTACACAAGTTTCTAACAGCAGTTCTTATGTTGGCCAATCTAGCATACAGGTGTGTGTGTGGGGGAGGGGGGGGGAAGGTTATGGGTGGCGTGCGCGCATGTGTAGGAGGGGGCGTGTGTACTTACCTAATTGTGCTTGCGGGGGCTGAGCTCTGGCTCTTTGGTCCCGCCTCTCAACCGTCAATTAACAGGTGTACAGGTTCCTGAGCCTATTGGGCTCTATCATATCTACACTTGAAACTGTGTATGGAGTCAGCCTCCACCACATCAATGCCTAATGCATTCCATTAGGATTGCATGTGCGTGTGTGTGGGCGCGCGTGTTTGTGTGTACTCACCTAGTTGTGCTTGCGGGGGTTGAGCTCTGCTCTTCCGGCCCCGCTCTCAACTGTCAATCAATCAACTGTTTCTAACTACTAACTAATTTTGTTTTTCCCACATACACACACACGGGAAGCAGCCCGTAACAGCTGTCTAACTCCCAGGTACCTATTCACTGCAAGGTAACAGGAGCATCAGGGTGAAAGAAACTCTGCCCATTTGCCTCTGCCTAGTCCGGGAATCGAACCTGGGCCACAGGAGTCCTGCACGCTGTCTACTCAGCTAACAGACCCCTGTGTGGGCGTGCGTGTGTGTGTGTGTGTGTGCGTGTGTGTGTGGGCGTGTATGTGTGTGTGCGTGCGTGTGTGTGTGCGTGCGTGTGTGGGCGTGCGCGTGTGTGTGTGTGTGGCGTGCAGCAGGTGACGACATGCCTGCACGCCCCTGGTACCAGAGAGACAGGGGAGTGGGAGTCGCTGCGTTGTGCCTGGCTCAGTACACATCACATACTTCCCTCTCCAACATTTATCTGATTTAAGCAACAAACAAATGTCTGAGAAAAAATAAACTTCCGGGGATATGTAATTTATGCCAAACAAAAACTTTCTTAATGCCTGGTCCTCGCTGACGTGAGCCACTCCTTGAAGCACACTTGCTCAGTCAACCCTTAAACTAACGCATATTTCTGTCATTTATAACCAGTGTATTTACACGCTGTGAATAACGGAGATATACAACATAACGCCTGGATGAAATGAGCTCCCAAGAACTTATAAGTCAGATGATCTTGAGAGACGGCGTAACCCAGTTTCTGAGGCGGCTCTGTGATTGGCTGGGGGTGTGTTGCGGGAGCGGCCGGGTGGCCAGGCATGCGCAGTGCGGCCCGCATACCTCAAGCCCAGGTGTGCGCTCCCCCACTTACCTGTGCAGTGTTCACCACGCACCCGCAGCGAGCTAGTTCTGGCGAGCGGTCACTCCTGGAGTGCGTGTCTGTGTGTATGCGGGCGCCGTGCGACTTAATACTCACTATGAACAAACGAAAAAGGAGCTGGGCTGTAGCCTTTTGTGTGTCGTAGTGCTTTTGGGATATGTTCAGAACCCACTAGTGACGGGGGATTTCCTTTCAAGTTTAGTGACGATTCTTGTGAGTTGACATCATGAAGATGGCCAGGCGAGGAGGCGCGGACCCCACACCTATCTGCCGCTGCCGAGTCCTGTATCTGGGGTCGTCCGTTCCCCAGGTTACCAAAGACGGCCTACAGGGCATACAGGAACCCCTGAGGGAGCTCTATCCTGCAGAAGGAGCGGTCAGCGCACGCGGGATAGACTCCTGGCTCTCGGTGTGGTCCAACGGGCTCCTACTGGAAAATGTAGACGAAAACCAGAAAAAGGTGACGCGTTTCTTCCCCATTGACTCTCTCCACTACTGCGCGGCCGTCAGGTATGTGGTGGTGGCTGGCGGCGAGGGCGCTGCCGTGCAGAGATTCTTGCCACTTGATTCCCCCTTCGCCAGGAATCCTAACATCAATCACCCGCCGTTGTTCGCCTGTATCATGCGCCGCACCACCGGCATTAAAGTTCTGGAGTGCCACGCCTTTATATGCAAGCGGGAGACTCCGGCAAACGCACTGGTACGCTGCTGCTTCCACGCTTACGCTGACTCCATGTACGCCCGAAGTCTGGAGGGCGGTGGCGGGGGCGGCGGTGGTGGCGGCGGCGGCGGCAACAGCCAGTACGGCTCTGTGTACGGCGGCAGAGCAACAGAGGAACGCGTCCTTGAAATAGAAGACTTCAACAGTGCGGCCTCAGAGATCATTCCTACATCTCTGGGTTCCTCGCCCACTCAGGACGCGCCCGCCTCGCCCTCCTCCCAGGACTCGCCAGGAGATGAAATATCGATATATAATGGCGACGAGAATCACAAAGTTTGGGCAGGACAGATTAAACCCGAGAATGAGCTCATCTATTCCGACTATTCCTCGGGGACGATGCGATCAGCGAGGTCAACAGCGTCGATATACGGAACTGCAGGAGGGACGCGCCCCTCGCGTCCCCGCCAGATGATCATGCCCTCCGTCGCCCCTCCGCCTCCGCCAGAGACAGACAAGGATAAAAAGGGTAAGAAAGATGGCAAAAATAAGGGTCGACGTGATGAGGAGGAGATGAGCAGGCTGACCAACGGGGGACCCCCGCGCCCCGCCAGTGTGGTCAACGGCGGGATGAGGCACCATAACGGTAGTCTCCCGCGACACATTAACGGCCACTCCTCCCCACCTAAGATGAAGGGAAAGTTTCGCATACTTGGCACCAGCAGCCTCTCCGACAGGAAGAGCAAGGGGATGCGTGCTCCTCCGCCCTTCATAATGGTGCAGGGGCCTCCTGGGCCACCTGGACACCATGGCCCACCTCCCCATCATGGCCATCACGTGCCACATGGACCATCAGGTCCACATGGACCACCTCCGGGCCCTCATTTAGCAGTTCCCATGGGACCCATGCCACCTCCACACATGGTGCCCATACAGGGCCCTCCGCCGCCTCATATGCTGCCCCCACCAGGGCCCCAGCACGTCTTGCTGCCCCCTCCTGGGCCCATGGGACCACACGGACCTCCAGGACCACATGGTGGCCCTTATGGACCTCCAGGGCGTCGGCCTCCATCAAGGGTACTTGAGGAACCTATCTACATGCCCTCTACCCGGCCCCTGAGCCCCACGGCGTCGTACCAGCCGGGGCACTTCCCCCACGAGCAGTACCTCATGGAACACTACGCCACAACTGGCAGACCCAAACACAAGAAGAAAAAGAAAGGGGGCAACAAAAAGGAATCTGACGAGGATATATACGGCAGAAAGGGTCACCTGAACGAGAGGGCCTTCTCGTATAGCATCCGGGAGGAGCACCGGTCTCGCTCCTACGGGTCGCTGGCGGGTATCGGCGAGGACTCGATGAGCAAGAAGGACCGCGAGATCCTACAGATGGTGGCGGACCTGGACCTGAGTGGAGACGAGCTGGAGAGGGTGGAGCCTCGACCTGGCGTGTACCGGCCGCCTCACTCCGACCGGCTCTCAGCCTCCGGCACCATCACCTCCAGGATCTCCCGAGCCTCCAGACGATAAACACACAGGTAAGATCACGGAAGATTTTTTTTTATCTCTTACTATTTCCTATCCCCCCCCCCCCCGGCCTATCCCAAATCCTTATCCTGACCCCTTCCAAGTGCTATAGAGTCGTGATGGATTGGCGCTTTCTCCCTGATACGTTCCCTCTTCATCCCTCTTACTAGTTAGCAACTCTTCACATGGGCCACTCTTCCTGCATTTCATAGGTATGGGTTTTGTTATTTGTCTACAGTCACAGGATTCTGATATTCCACATTAATTGTTGTAATAGTGAAGTGGCCGGATATATATGTGTGTGTGTGTGATTAATATGTAGCAAGACCAACACAGGCTTAGACTTAATATGTGATCACCAAAGACATTATTAGTCACATCATGTTGTTAAACCCTTCACAGTAGTTGTCAGCATCATGAGATAATGTACTGTTTTCCATAGCCAAAAAAGATATCCTGTAACATACTAACAAATTTTAACTACATACTAACTATATTATAACCTGAGTTTGTAAAAGCATCTTAATCACCTTCAGTGGTTAGGTGCTTAATTACACACTAGTTTTTCTGTCAGTTATCTCACCCTCCTGTCAAGGTAGGAAAGACAATTGTATGTGTGTATATATATATATATATATATATATATATATATATATATATATATATATATATAGTATATATATATATAATATATATATATATATATATATATATATATATGATAATTTTTTTTTATTGGAGTTAAAATTAACGTAGATATATGTATATGTGGAAGCTGATCAGAATTACATTTCACCTTTATAAATGCACATTAATGACATTATGTAAAAGACATATCGAACACTTTTTTTGTAGGACAGACGTAAATCTGTGTATCCTTGTATTTACGTATGTAGGTTAGCTTAGCATTTTAAGAGCACAACAATCACCTTCTGTGGTCGATTGTTCAATCTATCCCTGAACTATATGTTTAACAGACCTCTAACCCTGTCCATGGAGGACAGACGAAAATGTTTATATATCGTGGTTAGCATTGTAAATGTGTGGCCACGTCTGTGGTAGAAAATAATAATAAACAAAAACTAACACATTTTAAAAGACATTTTAAAGACGTATAGGACAAGGCATTTTCCCAAATCCGAATGTAATTATAAAAATAGATCCGTAGGCGGAAACATGTATAGATCACAAGAAGGAACCACGACAGGTGGTGCTTGTCTGACCTTAATCGTTGTGACCGTTGTTCGCTGGGAAGTTATTAAAGGTTGAAAACCCAATATCAGTCATTTCAAACCCCCACATCATTTGTCGTTTCCTTCGATTGTCTTCTATTTTTTTCTTCAGTAGGTCTGGTTTAACCACTAACTCTTCCACCTTAACCCGTTATAAAATATATTTCCGTGTAAGGCTCTCGCTGGAGTTTACGAGCGGCTTGCACACAGCAATACTGATCATGCCTGAGGCCCCTGCGAGCAGTGGAGCGCCAGGCACGGCTCAGGGGTGACTACATAACTGCAGAGGTAACGGAAGCGCTGCCTGGCACGCCAGGGGCCGGCGGTAGGACGGAAGGAGAGCCTCTGAAGCTACGCTAGACGAGAGACCAAACTGAGAGCAACAGAGACTTAGAAAGAGGAGGATGTACTGGAAGAAAGATACAAAGATATAAAATGAAAGATGCCTAAAGGGTGCCAGAAAGACTTTGGAAGGAAAGTAAGGAATTAATTATCAAAAGAAGGAAAGTAAACACTATTAAATATTAAAGAACGTTTGTCGTGGAAGGAAGTTAATTATCCTGATAAAACACTTGGAAAGGGTCTGAGGACAGGATAGGAAGGAGTGAAGGAAGTGTTCCCAACCATTTGGATCATCAGGGGATCGAAAGCCGACCTGATAGATGCGAGGCTGATGCTGTAACGCCCACTGACAGGCGACGGTGGGCGTGTTGTTGAGGAAGTGCTCTGGGGCGTATGAGAGATTTCAACGCATCAAGGCAAGTTATCTGGTCCGCCAGCCGACTGTGACCGTTCTCACACGCCACCGAGTCCCTGAGTACGACGTCGGGTCTATAATCTCTGTGTTGTGTTGTACGCGTGAACCCATTTGCGTCCGTACGCGTAAACTTATGTATTTAAAGCATCAGGATGATCTCGGACGTAGGTTCGAATCCTCGTCACGGCCCTTGTGGATTTGTTCTTATGTATTTAAATATTGAAATAAGGTAAATATTTTTATGTAAAAGCAAATACCTCATAAATACAAGAAAGTTGAACAGAATTATCACTAAAGATATTATGTAGAAGTAGATTAATAACAAAGCTTAATCAATATTACGAAAAAAATATCCAACCGCCTGGCAGCTGGATCACATCTGGTACACTGCTGACACACATTAGCGACGAGTAACGTGCAAGGTGTTTCAATATACATACCCGACAGGGCAAATCTGACATCATATCTTCCCCCCCCCCCCTCCCTAGTGGCCAAACAGTAATTACTTTTAAGATGTCTTCTTCATCAGCTGCACAAGGAAGCTTGATAATAAGCGAGATAATGGTCTCACATTATGTTTACCCGAGTGACGTCACGGCTGGGTGAGCCACAAAGATGGTAGCCACCGAGGAAGCACAATTACTCCCCCACCGCAAATTAGCCAACCTACAAGCCCACTTTATAAGTGGTGTGTGCCTTGTGAGTCACTGTACGTGGTACGGTCTAGCCGCCACCAACACCACCACCCACAGAAGGCACAGTTCGGTTATAGCAGTGACTGGGTTAAAGCAGGCGCCTCTTTTTTAGAAATGTTTGACCGTCCACTCTTTTGTTTTTGCAGTAGATTCCAGGGCGCCAGATTCACGAAAGCACTTACGCAAGTACTTACGAACCTCTACATCTTTCCTCAATCTTTGGCGGCTTTGTTTACAATTATTAAACAGTTTATGAACTACAAAGCACCAGGAGGCTGTTTATAACAAATTACAACAGTTGAATGGGAAGTTTTCATGCTTGTAAACTGTTTAATAAATGTAATCAAAGCCGTCAAAGATTGAGGAAAGATGTACACGTTCGTAAGTACTTGCGTAAGTGCTGTCGTGAATCTGGCCCCAGGTTCTTCCGAGTCTGGCTCATTCTTCTGGTGTGCCATCTAGAACCCCCGTCCCCCCCCCTACACACAAGCAATCAGCAAATGAACGCTAAAATAACGGTGAAGAATTATATATTCTGGAAAATGTCGACAGAATGAGATGCAGATGATGAAATTCCACCGGAGAAGCGAACCACAACGTTGGTCAGCTGCTGGTATACCGACGAGAGTATGACCGTATACTGACGAGAGTATGACCGTATACTGACGAGAGTATGACCGTATACTGACGAGAGTATGACCGTATTCTGACGAGAGTATGACCGTATACTGACGAGAATATGCCCGTATACTGACGAGAGTATGCTCGTATACTGACGATAATATGCCCGTATACTGACGAGAGTATGACCGCATACTGACGAAAGTATGCCAGTATACTGACGAGAGTATGACCGTATACTGACGAGAGTATGCCAGTATACTGACGAGAGTATGCCAGTATACTGACGAGAGTATGTCCGTATACTAACGAAAGTATGCCAGTATACTGACAAGAGTATGCCAGTATACTGACGAGAGTATGCCAGTATACTGACGAGAATATGCCAGTATATTGACGAAAGTATGCCAGTATACTGACGAGAGTATGCCAGTATACTGACGAGAGTATGCCAGTATACTGACGAGAGTATGCCAGTATACTGATGAGAGTATGCCAGTATACTGACGAGAGTATGCCAGTATACTGACGAGAGTATGACCGTATACTGACGAGAGTATGCCAGTATACTGACGAGAGTATGCCAGTATACTGACGAGAGTATGACCGTATACTGACGAGAGTATGCCAGTATACTGACGAGAGTATGCCAGTATACTGATGAGAGTATGCCAGTATACTGACGAGAGTATGACCGTATACTGACGAGAGTATGCCAGTATACTGACGAGAGTATGCCAGTATACTGACGAGAGTATGCCAGTATACTGACGAGAGTATGCCAGTATACTGATGAGAGTATGCCAGTATACTGACGAGAGTATGCCAGTATACTGACGAGAGTATGCCAGTATACTGACGAGAGTATGACCGTATACTGACGAGAGTATGCCAGTATACTGACGAGAGTATGCCAGTATACTGACGAGAGTATGCCAGTATACTGACGAGAGTATGCCAGTATACTGACGAGAGTATGCCAGTATACTGATGAGAGTATGCCAGTATACTGACGAGAGTATGCCAGTATACTGATGAGAGTATGACCGTACAGCTGCCTAGCATGCCACTCTGGTCTCTACAACTCACAACTCCTGAATGTAATGAGACAGCGCGTGACTGACATCCACAAAGCATGGAGCTTTAATGTTGACATTGATGTGACGACCCCTTCCTTGAGCAGTGGCAGCTGACAGACGCATGACAACGACAGTGGCAGCTGACAGACGCATGACAACGACAGTGGCAGCTGATAGACGCATGACAACGACAGTGGCAGCTGATAGACGCATGACAACGACAGTGGCAGCTGATAGACGCATGACAACGACAGTGGCAGCTGACAGACGCATGACAACGACAGTGGCAGCTGATAGACGCATGACAACGACAGTGGCAGCTGACAGACGCATGACAACGACAGTGGCAGCTGATAGACGCATGACAACGACAGTGGCAGCTGATAGACGCATGACAACGACAGTGGCAGCTGACAGACGCATGACAACGACAGTGGCAGCTGATAGAGGCATGACAACGACAGTGGCAGCTGACAGACGCATGACAACGACAGTGGCAGCTGATAGACGCATGACAACGACAGTGGCAGCTGAAAAACGCATGACAACGACAGTGGCAGCTGATAGACGCATGACAACGACAGTGGCAGCTGACAGACGCATGACAACGACAGTGGCAGCTGATAG